TTTGTCGTGCTTGGGGAGCTGGGTCAGAACAGCTTGTCCCAAAGAAACCCCATTGATCTCTAACCCCACCTACCTCACCCCCCCCCCCCCCTTTTTTTTTTTAGTGCCTGAGCTGAAAGAGCAAATCCAAGCTTGGATGAGGGACAAGCAGCACCCAGATCACTGAGGCGACACCACCCCCGGCAGCACACGCCGAGGTCAACTGTGGAGAGCAAAGGCAGCGGATCAAGGCAAGGGGAATGCCAAAACCACGTTGGAGCTGAGCTGGGGACTCACGCAGTGCCTGCTGCTGCCGCTGCTACCACAAAAGGACCGTTGGGACCTCCTGGGCGAGGCGAAAGGGGAGAGAGAGAGGCACCACACCGCCAAAACGCAGCTTAACTCTTGTACATAACTTTTAAGCGATACATCGGCAGTCGATAGCATTGTGGGTGGGATTCAGTTAGCAAGTTCCCTCTTTTTTTGTTTGTTTGTTGTTGTTCTGAGAAACGAAACTCCTCCGTTTCATCGTTGGGGGGGTTCATCCATGGCCGAATTCAGTTTAGCCAACGACGCGGATCGGGTCGGCACAGCCTTCGGTGTGTGTGTGCGTGCGTGCGTGTGCGTGTTTTTCTTTCTTTTTTTTAAACCAATATATTGCCAGATCTCCGTTAATTTGATAGTGGTTGGAACTTTGAACATTTTTGCTGCTAAAGGTTAAAAAAAAACAAAAACCCACCCCCAAACCCTTTCATTTTTCTCTTGTCACCTCTGCCTGCACGATCCCGGTTTTCCGTTTATTTTTTTATTGTTTCTCCTTAATGTGAAGAAAAACCTTTCCTGTCTATGGAAAAGATGACCCCTTATGTCCTAAGGGGAGGGTGTCAGACATCATTTTGAAAAAAACACAAAAAAAGAGAGCAAATGTGCCTGCGAGGATTATTGAAAAGGGGAGAGGATGGGGGAAGGGGGTCATATTTTCCTATAAGAAAGCTCTTTATTATTATTATTATTGTTATTATTATTATTATTTAATTTGGCTAAGCCGCCCCCCAAGAAAAGGCATTCACGATCCAAGTAGCAAATTTCATTCTCCCGCCTCCCCCTTTGTGTCGGCACGTTGAAATGTCACGATGTTTGACGTGTTCCTTTATGTTTCGAGGAGAGATTTCATTCCCTATGTTGTGGTTGTTGTTGTTATTATTTTTTAGGTTGGTTTTTCTTCAGAGCCTTGTATTATAGGTCGAAACAGCTGCCGCAAAAGGAATTGGAGTTGAATATGTAGAGATGGGGTGGGGTTTCACTGACTTAAAAGATATATATATATATATATGTATATGTATATGTATATGTATATGTATGGTATTCAGCTTTGTTCGGGTGTTTTCCCACGTCATTGTAGTTGTGTTTTAAAAGCTACAACTTTAAAAGCACAACTACAATGACGTGGGAAAATACCCGAACAAAGCTGAATACCATACATGTAAGTACCCGCGAAAACTTATATATCTTTTAAAGCCAGAGATCTTATAAGTTAAACGGTAATGATTCTCTGTCTTTTCAAAGATTGTTTCTTGGGGAAATGAGGGTTCAGGGTGTGTGTGTGGAAAGCAGATTGATTTATTCTCAGCGCCTCCGAGTCAAAGCCGACAGATCCATTTTTATGTTGCGTACCAGTTTTATATCCATGGCTTGGCCTTACCAAAGCAAAAAGGGTGCAGAAAAAAAAAATGTAGACTTGCTTTTTTTAAAAAAAGAAACTATATAAAAAAGATGAAACATTTTTGTATGACTGCCCTCTGCTTAAAAGATACTTGAACGTCCTTTTTGAAAAGGACTTGAAACCACAGTGTTTTAAAAACAAAAACGAAACTAATTAAGCCTGAAAAGAAAATGTTTTTTTTTCTTTTTTTCCTTTTCTGCTGACAGTTTCCTCTGTTCAGTTCCTAATTCTTGAAGAACAATAAATGGTGATACACATTCACAAAAACCTTTTCTCTCCCCCCCCTCCCCCCCGGTGGCTCCTTTATGTATTTTGGGTGAGCTTCTTTAAATCAAAATTACAAATATTTTGTACAAAGGACATGATTTTCATCCAAGGATTGGGTTGCTTGCTTGGAGTGCTGTGGCGGCCTAGAGGTGGAGCTCTCGCCTCACAATCAGGAAGCTGTGAGTTTGATCCTAGGTAGAGGCAGATATTTCTCTCTCACTGGGCACACTGAGAATGTATCTGCAGAACAAAACTCTGCACTGGGGACAGGAAGGGCATCCGGCCAGTAAATACACTGCTAGCTTCATTCAGACTCCAGCCCGCACGGGATTATGAGGTCGCTAAAAGAAGGTGATGATGATTTGATTGCTTGCTTATTATGGGGGTGGGTGGGAGGTCTCAGTGTTTAAATGAGACAAACCTAGCTATTGCTTCTTATTCAGAGGGAAAGTAATCAAACAAATCGGTGTTTATCGGCAATAAATCGAGAGTTGTGGCTTGTCATTAAATAGCAACTGGTTCTAAATATTTCATCTCTTAGATCAGGGGTCCCCAACTCCCAAGCAGTGGCCCACTATCAGGCCGCAGCCTATTCAGAACAATGCATGAGTGCAAATTTGCATGCGTGCAAATCTCTTGTGTGAGCAGCAACTATTTGCCCTTGCACACGAAACTTCCTTCCTGTGAGCGGCGGCCATTTTGCACACACACACACACACACACATGCCACTCACCAAGCCCTGCCTACCACTCACGAGGAACTATTCACACACACACACACACACACACACACACACCGGGCCTGGACAGACTGCCAAGCCAGTTTGGGGACTGCTGTCTTAGGCCAAAATAGGTTTCTCTGAAGCGATAATCTGGGCCAGAAAAATAGCATTATTTTTTTTTTGCAGGATCCAGTCTGTGTAGGTCACCAAAATCAAAGGTTTTATTTCGTGCTGGACCCCATCATCAGAAAACTTCTCTCTCTCTTTCCAGAATATGCAGACTAAACCGTTTTATCTTCATTCGCAAGGGTGTTTTTGCTCAATAGGAGTTTGAAATGTTTGTCAGTCATGTAGAGCCGATGCTGTCCACCAAAAATCGGCTCTATCACTGGAGAAGTTGGAGCTATAATGTGTAATAAGCCAAAATTACATCATGAATTGAGCCCCATGGGTTAACAGCCCACAAATTTGAAAATTTTCTGCCAGCAAGTTAAATTGTTATAGGCTGCATCCACATACTGACAGGATTAACCCATAGGACTGCTGTTTAAAAAAAACAAAAAACACGGTTTGTAGCTTAGCTTGTCTGGATCCTTCTATTTATTTAGCAAATGGCATATTGTACATGAACTAGAGATGTGGACATTTCACCCAGATGAAGTAAAACACAAGACAATATAAATGTTTGAAAAGATCTATGTTCAAATACCAAAGTCTAGGCTAGGTCTTTCAATCCTTGGAAGTACATCATAGTTTATGTTTTGTTTAACCAACTTTTACTTTACTCAATGTGTAAGTCATCTATGGGGGAGGTTTTTGAAACCTTAAATAGGTATAATAACGAATAATGAAAAAAAGAACAGGACAAAAGAGGTATAGAAATTAAACCATTTTAAGACAAGTGGCTGCCACAAATCAATAGTGGGAATAAAATAGAAAGAGAGATAAAATATTTAAAGGTAGTCAACTCTAGCTTGAGGTTAGTATCCAAAACAAAACCCCTGAGGCTGTGTCAGCATTCCATAATACAGTGCTGCACTTAACAATCACAGTGCCCACTGGTCAGCAAGGCCATTAAGTGAGTTTTGCCCCTTTTTACAACCTTTTTTGGCCACTACTGTTGTGAATCATATGGTCATGTAAATCCAACTGCCCCCATTGACTCGGCTTGTCTGAAGTTTGCAAATTGTGATCCCCATGATCCAGTGCAACCTTCATAAGTACATGCCGGTTGCCAAGTGCCTGCATTTTGATCACATGACCATGGGGATTGGGGATGCTGCAATGGTTGTAAGTGTGAGGACCGGTCATAAGTCACTTTTTTTCAAGTGACGCCGAAGCTCCAAATGATTAAATGAATGGTTGTAAGTGGAGAATATGAATGTGTGTATAGGATCATGCAAACATTCCACAAATGTTTTATTTTTCAACAGTACATTTAAATTGGGATGAGGTATTTCCTGGGGGGAACCCCCCCCCCCAATTTTCCTACAGATCCTCTCAATTGCACATTTGCAAGCTCTCATTTTAACGTATTTTTTGGTGTAATCTCAGCCCAATAATAAAACCGGGATGAGGGACAGAGTTCATGATCGTGACAATCCCTTCCAAAGGCAACTTTCTGCATTCAGACGCTCCTTGCGCGCTTGAAAAAGCGGACCGGCGATGGTCGACTTTAATTGACGCCGTTCTTTTTAATTGTAATATGTTGTGTTTCTCTTCTTCGTCGCTTTCGTCACGGCTGGCGTTAATTGACCTGAATCAATTCCCAAAGCGCTCAGTCACTCAGCCTTCCCATAATCCTCAGCGCCTGTCAGAGAGAGACTAAATCTGAGGTAGGGGGAAAGAAAAAAAAAGGTCGCGTCACTCCCCTTTTATACCCCGCTAAGTCAAGTCGCCACCCTCGAATTGGTCCTTCCGCGCGAGGGGCCCACCGAGGCATTCCTACGCCCCCGGCTTAAAGAATCCCAAGGAGAAATCCTCGAGACTGAAGAGGGGTGGGGGGGGGAAAAGAGCGCATCCCCTTCGAACGCTCATTGGCTGCCTTCGCGGGTCCCTGTCCCGCCCCTTTCATTGGATTGGCTGAGAGGCGCTCCGAGATTGGCAGCGGAGGCGGTCTTTTTCGCTCACTGAAGCCTTTCCGTCATGGATGGACAAACACGGCCGCCTATCGGCGAGGATGCCGGTGGCTGCGTTCGGGAGATTGGACTCTGATTGGACCGCCGCCGCGAGAAAGGGGCGGGGCCCGGAGCCGGTGGGAGGGGGAGAAGCGGCTCCGTCGCTTTCCCTTGTCAGTAGGAGCAGCGGCGGCGGTGCTGTCAGGCTGGTTCGCCGTCTGTGCGGGGCCTTCGCTCCTTCACGCCGTCCCGGGGGAGGGCAGCTCCGGAATGGGGCTCGGCAGCGGCTTCTTCCCCGCTAGCTGCCTCGCCGGTCGTGACCGCCCGGGAAGCCGTTAGTTTTGGCTGTTTCGGCGCCGGTGTCGCTCCGCCCTTCACCGCACTGAGGTAAAAAAAAAAAAAAAAGGAAATCTAAAAACGGGGGGGGGGGGGGGGGGGGAGTACGCCCGAGCGCGTCACGTGACCTGAGGAGAAGGCGCCGCTGTTGGGGCGGGGCTTGCCCTCCTCCCTCTCAGCCACCTGCTCACCCACCTTCCCCAACCTGGCGCCCTCCGGGGCTGCAACGCCCATCCTCCGGGGATGATGATGATGATGGGGGTGGGTGGGGGGGAGTCGGGGTCCTAAAGGAACCGGGCCCGAAGTCCGATCTCTCCATTCTCAGCCACACCGCCTCCATGGACAAATGGAAGGAATCACCCGGGGAGGCCATCGTGCTTCCTCCTTTATTTATCCCCCCCTTTTTCCCCTCATCCCTCCTTTTGTTTCTCCCCACCCCCCGTCTCTTGAAAACTCTCTCCTTTCCCCCCCTCCCCCGTCAAGAGGCCCCTCCCGAAGGGAAAGCAAATCCATTTTTAAGAAAAATGAACAATGTCCACTTGGAGGAGAGAATGGAGGAGGAATAGGGTGAATTTTCCTCCCTGGCCTCTTCTGGAGATGCTGCTGTGGGATTATGGGAGTTGTAGTCCAGGCTTCAGCCTAGCACCCCTCCCATGTGTCAGATCTTGGAGCAAAACCCACAATAATAAATAAACGGGGGTCCTTTTGCAGCATCTTTCCTTTCATTTGGGCAGGACACAATTCAATACCAGAGGTGTGTGATTTATATATGTATATATATATATTTGTATGTATGTATGTATATGTGGTCGATATGATTATTGTGGAGTACAAGTCTGATCATAGTAATAATAGTAATCAAGCATTTTGAAAAGCTGCCTTTTATTTTACGAGTTCTACACCTAGGCATGAGAACGGAAAGAAATAGGTGTGTATCTCAAAAATAGCTCTACTCCCGGGTAAGGTTTACTTAGGAGCTCTCCTTGGGGTGCTTGTTTTGTCTCCTGGCCTTGTTGGCTTTGAGAAACCTGCAGTCGGCGGAAGCATTTTAGAGAGGTTAGCGTGCAGAAACTCTTAGGGATGTGGCACAGGGAAATTGGTGGATGTGTGACCCCAGGAATATAAGCCATGGATTTTCAACAAATGCAAATTCAACAAAATTGGTGCATCTGCATTTACCACGTGTGCAGGCTTGCAAATGTTATACATGCATTTGCATCTTAGTTCTTCACCTTTAGTCCCTTTTGAATAACAGGCTGCTTTGTGTTTATGGGTCAGTATTTGTGTGTGCTACACACACACATATTCATGCCCTACCAGCAATTTCCTTGCATAAGCTTTTTCCACTTTGATCAGTGTAGGAGGAGGAAGCCTGTTTTCTGAATTCTTTTTCTTTTCAAGGAGTCTGGCGTTTTATTTCCCCAACCGGTCAATTCCAGTTGTAGAGTCCTCACAGGGTGTTTTTTTTTTGGGGGGGGGCTCACCTTACCCACATTCCTTTTATCTACTTCTTGTTCCCCGTAGAGACTTTTCTGCAGCTAAGGCGAGATCTTGTGGCAGCCTGCCTATTTTTTTTTTTAAATGTTGGCACAGGGAGCTTCCCAAACCAGTGAAATGGGACCCTCCCCCCTCTCCTCTTCCTCCACCTCCCCTGAGTTTTGGTCAGAGTTCCAAGTTTGGAAGTTTAAATGATACACTCACTGACATGCTCAAATCAACATCTGTCAGTCAAACTGAGACTTTGAGATTGGGGAATTAATGAGAAGTTCTTAATGAGTTTTCTGAATGGAGCCCTCTGCCTTCAGTACTGGGTCTTCTGTTTCCCCCGGTGCTGAAGGCTCTGCTCTGGATTGGACCCATCCCTCCTCCTAATCGATTATTCCCATCTTACATCTTTTCTCCTTGAGCTACAGTGCTGCGGCCTAAACTCCATGTCATCTCAGAAGCAGGGTGGGGTTTTGAGGCTGGTTTTTTTCTCTCTCTCTCTCTCTTCTGCTTCAAGTTGACCGGTCTGACTTGAACCTGATTCCTTACAGTGATTTGTGGGGGAACTGCAGGAAGCTCTCGTCTCTTCCCTTTCTCCCCCCACTTCCCCTCCCTTGCTTTTTGTTTAAAACTATTTCAGCCCTAAAGGTAGATGCTCTCCTATTTGTTATGTGTCCTCCCTTCCTCTAGACAGTATCCAGCACAGCACAATTACAGAGGCAGCCATATTGGGATTATGATCTGACGGTCTTCCAGGAGCTCCGTCAGGGATAGGATGGCAGGATGGTAAGAAAGACCCGAGGAGTAGCTCTGTGAAAATGCTCCCTGGAATTTGTCAGACTTTTGTCACCCCTGGCTTGTCTTTTCACTCCCCACTGCCTGTTTGGTTTGTCGGGAATTGTATAGGGTGGGGTTTAGGGGCCCTCCCTCTAAGCTGTATGTTTGTTATATATATAGTCCTGGAATTAGATCTCTCCATTCGGATCCAAGCTATTTCAGCTTTCTTCGGCTTCTCCTCTTTTGATTATTTTCTCTGAGCCTTGAAGCCAGGTTTCCTCCCTCAGAGCAGAATACTGTGAATCCCCCCCCCCCCCCCCCATTTATTGTGTTTCTTTTGTGACTACAGTTACAGAAAGAGGAATGAAAGGTATTTTAAGCTGTTGTCGGGTACCTTTAGGAGTCAGTTCCATTAATTCCAGCTGGAATACCTTTTTAATAGATGCACCCTAGCTGGCTTTGTAACACTCTTGTTTCCATAGCAGTGTAAGCTTTACAAAAACATGGATTTTTGTGATGGATGCCAAAACTGACAGCATTCATATTACTGGCTATTGCTCCTTTCATTTATGCCGAAATAATTAGCAGCCTAATTCAATCCGATGGAAGGGCACTTCTGCTGTTCAAAGGACATCAAACTTCTAACAAGCCAACTTCACAAAGAGATCACTGTCTGCTTCTGTTATCGTCATTGTCCTGGTGCTGTTTTGGGACTCTTTCAAATAGCACCCTTCCCCCATCTCCTTTCTGCCCCTTTGTTAGTCCCTTGCGTATTTGCTGGTGTGTGTATGTGTGTACTGTAGAAACCAGGCTTCCTGGACAGGCTCCCTTTTGTAGACCTTCCTTAGGATCCCTGCCTAAAAGCCTGAGGTCATGCAGAGAGAGTTCACTTTCTCCATTCGCATGACCGCCTGACTCAGAGCAGCCCTCGATTAATCCAGGGAATCCACAGGTTATTTTAGGGACTGATTTTGGTTCGGAAATGCTCAGGCATTAGGGTTGCATGATACTGTGTCTCTTTAAATGTCCCAGTTAAGCAACTTACACAAATCCAGTCATTCGAATTGATTTGACAGGACAGTTGTAATCTGTCACCAGTTAATTCCACCATCATGTGTGTCTTTAGACATGTCTCAAAGATGTTTTTTTTTTCCTTGAAAAGGCAACTGGACCGTTTTTTTTTTTTCCCTTGAGGAAGAAGAAGAAGGAAATATTTTCACTTGTCATCCAAGAAGCTTTATCAGTTCTGATGGCAGAAGAATGGAATAGAACTGATGAAGTTTCTTGAATGAGAAGTGAAACATTTTCTTCTTTCTCAAGGAAAAAACAATCCAGTTGCCCTTCTGAAGAAAAAAAAGCACCTTTGAGACAGCTATGACCTGGATGACAGAGAGTCTCCACAGGCATTTGCCTTTAGACATGTTCGTATATTATTATTTTTGCTGTGTAACAGATCTTCAGAATAGAGTTTCATGAACACCGTAATTATATGGCTTCTTGAGAGAAAGCTTGTATTAGCCAATTATCTTGCTGATAGAGATTCTGGAATTGTCATCTGAAAATCTCTGGATCCCTAAAGTTTGTCAGTTAGCTATGGTTTAAAACAGAGAAAACCTACATTTCCTTCAAACTGATTTTAACTTTTTTGGTGGCACTTGAGCGAGAAGGAACCCCCTTAAACTTTAAGTGCAGCTAAGTTAGAAAGCGTAATAATTTGGGGATATTTCAACTAATTTCTGTTTATTTAAAGATGAGTGTGTGAGGGGAAAATGTGCCTGTTTTCACACTGTCGGAGAGAAATGTCTTGATCAGATAAAGCGTATTTGGTTAGCTTAGGGCTTAGGTTCAAAACATTTTTTTGCCTAATTTAGGTTTTGGGGATGTATTTCTGTGATTCATTTTCTCGTTTTTGACTCAACACCTTCCCAATTTTTTTTTCTCTTGAGAATGACCCTAAACTTGTATTTTCCAACTTCCAACTTTTATCTATAAGGGGGCTTCCATTTTTTTGAATTCTTTCCAAGTATGACCTGATGCTGGTGTTATATTTGAGAAAGCTCTCTCCCTATTCCTAATTCACTTTACCCACACCTCTTTTTGTATGCATCACCCACAAAGGGTGGCAGCTAGATTTCTTGCCGCTTAATTTACATGAAGCTTATTTACATGGAAGGGGGAAAGGGAGGTTTTTAGACTATTCCGTGGAACAGTTGAATTCCCCCCAACAGCATGCGTGAAACAATAAATCCCAACTAAACCCGAAGAGCCACTTATGTCCTGATTGGTATAAGGACTCCACAAATTCTCACAATCTAGATCCTTGAGTTTGGACCAAAGGCTGGAAAAGAAACTAATAAAGAAAAATTGGGTTGCTCCTTCTCCACCTGCTTTACTAACATAATTATTACTGTATGCGGAGATCTAGTTTTACAGATGTAAAGAAGTCTTATTCCAGCATAGTATCAAGAAAGTAGTCTTAATAGTTGAGGGCTAAAGCAAGGGGCAAAGTATAGTGCGTTATATAATGGCGTTATAGCTGTGAAATGGTCCAATATTGCCAAAACCGCTTTTCCTAACCAGGTTACCTTCCAGAGTAAAGGTTCTCAATCTTTCATATTTTAAATCACTTGCTTTGACAAAGAATCTTGGTTCTGCTATTAATACCCTCCATATTCTTTTATAGGCATTTTAGTATTAATAATTATCATTTCTGCTAAGACTTCCATGTTTGGCTAAAGCTTCAGTGTCTAATTTGGCATCCCATCTCGACTGCTGTTGAGAACTGCTGGATTTGGGCTGCTTTGGCAGCTGCAGAAATGTGACATGTGTTCTTGAGTAGGTGACGGGAAGCCTGGCCGTGCTACATAGCAGCGGTTCACAGCTTCTGTTAGCCTGAGGACCACACCAGGCTTTGGCCCGTAGAGAGCCCCATGCCAAAAATGGTTGGGGAGGAACTTCAGGCATTTTAAGAGAGGGAGGCCTTAAATGGCTGCAAAGCTTAAAGCTCTACTTTCTGGCCTTAATCTTGCTTTTTTAAGAGCATCCGTAAGTACTGTGTGCTGTCTGCATCAAGAACATACATATTGAAATGCAGGACGGCCGCAGGTTTCCTGTATACATTCTGGAATATTTGATATTGTAAGGCAACCCGTCAGGCTCTTTTTTCTGGCCTGTCCCAAAAAAATCAACAATAAATAAGCACCTGAAAGTCTTCCAGTGTTGTTTTGGGGATATATTGGGATATGTATGCTTTGAAAAATAAACACCTCAGTGCTTATTTTTCATGAAAGGAGTAATGGTAGAACTTAAAAGATATTGATCGTGCCTGTTAACTAAACAGATACAGACCGTATCAGTCAACACAATGAACAAAATAAAGCCAGTGCTATTTTACTGTATGCTATTTTAAGCCTCTATTTTGCTTTTTTATCTGATACCACATCAGCTGTTTTGAAATGCCTTGGGAAGACATTTTCATTTGCCCACACATATGTTCTGCTTTCTCTTCCAGCTAAAATGCCTTTTTTACCTTTGTGAAGAGAGAATGTAATGGTTTAGTTTGATTTTCTGCAGCACGGTTGTTTACTGCAGGATACAGGAATGTCCAAGGAAAAAGACTAACGTAAAATCCAGAGGTGTTGCATAGGCTTTTTGTCTTTTTTTTTTTTTAAGAACAAATGTGTTGGATTCTTTTTATACTTGCCACTCATACCAATTAAATGAACAAGCTGTACAGAAAATGGGTATCTTTTTAAAGCTGACTGAGTCATGAGAGATATCACTCATCAAAGCTCTGTTTTGCCCCCCCCCCCCCTTTTCTCAGCTTGGTAAAGGAGCAGTGTGAATAATCTCACTGCTTTACACGCAGAGGAAAATGTTATTTGTGTGGTAGGTTATAATAAATGGCTGTTTATCTGATATGTATTTGAAAATCACTTTTCTTTTCTTTTACAAGCTAACACTACAAGAAACCCCGGAAGTCCTTGAAACCTAATTTCTGGAGTGCACACAAGAGACTATCAAAATGTCAGGAGCTTCTGTAAAAGTAGCTGTTCGGGTCAGACCTTTTAATTCCCGAGAGACCAGCAAAGAGTCCAAATGCATCATCCAAATGCAAGGAAATTCAACCAGTAAGTCAAGCTTAATTTTCTAATAAAACGGTCTTTCCTTTCTGGGACTCAATAAATGGTTGGTATTGCATATAGATAATGTCATTGACAATTATTCAAAACAACTGTGTTTTTTTTTTTTGTAGCAGTCTTGTATTTTCCTATTTGTGTGTGTGTGTGTGTGTGTGTGTGTTGCTCTGGAAGGATTACATCTTACCTGGCAGTATTTTTACTGATGTGTAATCATCTAGAAATGAGTGGGAAACAATTACACATGATGCTTCAGGGACTTCCTTCTCATTAGCAAAGCTACTGGACCATCTTGTGCAAGTTCCTTTTTGGAAGTAGCAGGATGATGCGTGCAGGAGGTATTCTGGGGAACAAGATTTGCTGGCCTGGGCATTTTTGATGCTATTTTGTAGCTTGTAAGCCTAGCATTCAGGATTTCCTTCTGTTCTTTTTTGCCATCTGCCAGTTGAAAACTTAGGGTTGATGTGGCCTTGTAGGTCAGAAATAGGAAATCTATGTCACTGTAGACGTATTTAAAAAAAAAAAAATCTCAGGAAAGCTAGAGGAAGTGTGTTCCCAACCAATAGCTTAGCTTTCATATTCTTTAAGGATGAACAATGTTTGGGTTCTCCAGATGTTTCCAAACTACAACTGGTAAGATCTTTGGCCATTTACTACACTGACAAGAACAATAGAAAATTGTAATTTATCCAGATTCCTCTGTTTTATTCATATAATGGCCACTATAATGAGAGACAGTCCACTATCCTAACCAGAAGTTGGTTTTACAGTCAAACTGCTTTTAATATCAGGATGTTTCCAATCATGTTTCTTATAATTTAGTCCTATGTCTGGTCTGACAGAGAAAAAAAAAATCTTTGACATCTTCAATATCATAGAAGTCTAAGAGTGTCCAGCCCATGTTTTCTCTTCTCTTAAGTCTGTAGCTTTCTTCACGGAATTGTTGTTGTTGTATTACAAGTGGCTCTCCTTATTTTCTCCTATCCTTAAAGATTTCTGTGCTGATTTTGTATCAGATACTTCCTTCCTCATATTAGATTTTAAAGTTGGGGCTCTTGATGTCAGCATAGTCTCTCGGTAGTGAGAATGCAAGGAAGAAAGTTTAAAAAGAAAAAGAACAGAGCCATATTTTTTTAGCTGAGAAAAGCTTCCTTTGCATCTTTCTCTCTGATCTGTTTTTTCCGTTTTTATCTGTAGTGTTTTTTTCTGGATGTCTCCAGACAGACAAAGGGGAAACCGAAATGGCAGGTGGTCGGACTTATTTGGATCATTAATAACTGTGGGAAAATAGCCTCAGAGACCTCCTTAAGACTTGCAGTCAGGAGTCTCGTGAGTGTGTTGTTAGGTGGGAAATATGCCAGGAATGTACAGAAAGAGGGCGTTACAGAAAAAAGGACTCAGAAACGCAAATGGTGGAGAGGAAAATAGGAGAGTTTGCAGGGATGTTTGAGCCATCTTCACAGGCTCCATTTATGGCTTTGAAGACTCTCTTAAAACAAAAGGTTTTGTGATGTTCTCACTGAGTGGAATTGGGTGGGATGACATAGAAATGCATGCTTTAAATGATGTTTGGATAAGAACTTTTAAAATCATTTGTATGTGAACGCTCTCAGGTCCCTAAATAAATCAGGCCAAGAATGCAGGGCAGAAGATAATTCTAGTGAAAGATGGCTAGGTTGTTAGCAAATGGAAAAGCAGAAGTCGCTTGATTTAATCTTGCGCACTTATGCAGATGCCTGACAGCAGGCTTGGGTGAATGGCGGCTTTTCTAGGCTCCTCAAGAGTTTAGCAATATATTGGCCACGGGATAACATTCAGCAAGGAATCAGGATTCTTCATCTTAAAACTATAGCGAGCATTGATTTTGAACAGGAAAGAAAATTGCTTCTTCTGACAAATAACCTTGGATTTAACCGGTTGGGAGTTGTCATGATTTTTCTTTGTCCTGTTTGGGGTGGGGTGAGGAGAAAAACTTGAAAGAACTCATCCGTACAACATCTGGCCTCCGATTGATCCATCATTTGAAACTTGCAGAGGATATGGAGGTGCATACCTGCTGTAATTTTTCCCCGCGCATGACAGTCGCCTTCTTTTCATCTGATTTTTTTTTTGTTTTGTTATTACAGTGGAATCCTGCAGTCCAGATGAAATCACATGTTCTGACTGCATTAGGAAACTGGTATCTTGGGAGCAAGCCTAGTCTGCTTGTGGGGCACTCAGAGCTGATTGCAGATGTTACGCAGTTAAAAGATGCTGCTGGGGGATTTTAGAAGTGAAGAGTGGGAGTGAGGTGGGGATTATCTGTAGGACAGAGTCGGCCGTAGGATTGTAAAACTGATTTTGGAGCTGCCTGTTTACAAGTTTATTCAAGCCACAATATACAAAAGATGTTGAGATTCTAGAAGAAGTGCAGAAAAGAACAACAAAGATTATTAGGGGACTGGAGGCTAAAACATATGAAGAATGGTTGCAGGAACTGGGCATGTCTATAGCTTAATGAAAAGAAGGACTAGGGGTGACATGATAGCAGGGTTCCAATATCTGAGAGACTGCCCCAAAGAAGAGGGAGCCAAGCTATTCTCCAAAGCACCTGAAGGCAGGACAAGAGGCAACAGATGGAAACTAACCAAGGAGAGAAGCAACCTGGAACTAAGGAGGAATTTCCTAATGGTGAGACAAATCAACCAGTGGAACAGCTGGCCTCCAGAAGTTGTGGGTGCTCCATCACTGGAGGTTTCTAAGAAGAGATTGGACAGCCATTTGCCTGAAATGCTATAGGGTTGTTCTGACCCACGCCCTTTTCCGACAAATCAAACACAATTCAAAAAGAACAGAAACCTTGTAGTGCTTTTACAAAACAATTAGCTGTGATAAGCACAAGCTGTACGAGACTTGTCAAAAGATAACAGACAATAAATAATTTGCAAAGTAAGAATCTTCAAATACAAACTCAGGATACTGGCATGTCCACGAGGCTGGAGTTTCAAAACGTCTTTGCCTTCTGCAAAGTATGTTTGTTTCACAGCTGGCTTTAATCTTGATGAAGGAGGGGCCATTACCTTGCAACCTTACTCCTGAGTTGCCCGTGCTGTTGTAGCTGCTCTTTCCTGCAAGCAGCCCTGCGCGCACGCGCACTTGGCACAGGCTCCTCGGGAACCTCCTCATTGCTTCTGCCAGCCCCAAAATCTCTGAAGGCAGCAATCCACTCCCTAATGGTCCTGGCCCCTCATCTGAGTCCTCGCTCTCCTCAGCCGTCTGCACCTGCTGCCGGCTAACCACAACAAGGGTCTCCTGCTTGAGCAATGGGTTGGACTAGAAGACCTCCAATGTCCCTTCCAACTGTTATTCTGTTAAGGGGCGTTTTCCTCCTTTGCTATCTCCTGAAACATTTGAAAAACCCAATCCATTGAGAAAAGCAAATAAGAGCCATATCTGGGAACCATTTTCAGTTGCCTTGATGGGGCAGGATGCTCTTCAGAGCGACTTTTTGTCTTCTGCTTCCGAGTTGTGATACCAGCTTGACTTAAACCAACTTGCGATTGCAATGCAGGGTGAGAGTATTTCCCCCCCCTCCAGATTTCTGGAGGTGGTTCTTTGTTGCAATAAACTGTAATTTGATGGTATGTTTGAATCAGCACTTTTGTAGTGAGTCCCTTCACCAATGCACATAAGTTGTTGGGCCTTTTTCGTCTTCAGCCAGTATGTAGTTTTTGTCCCCAGTTGCGAGTTCCTTGTCTCTGCGCTTCTTGTTCAGTTAGGATCCAGAGGTACTTTTTGTTCTGTTCTTAAAGGCAGAAGATTCTGTACTTTAGATCTGATGTCACCTCTACCTTTTTCCAGTCAATTTCTTCTATTGGGAAGAGGATTGCATCCTCTTTGAAAAAGCAATATAGAAGAGAGCTCTGGAATACAGGATCCTTTTACGACATCATTCTGGTGATTCAGCTCCCAGCTCTTTAATAATACACACACACAAAAAAAACAAGTCCAGCCAATTGGAAAGGAATGTTATTCAGTCATATGACAGCAACTGAAATGCCACAATTATGCTTCCACTCTCAAGCAATTTGGCTGTGTGTTTCAAAATGAGATAGAAAGGTTTGCCTCAAATCCAGCAGTTGGAAGGAATGGCTATTCCCCAGAAACCCAGTTCAATTGAAACATTCAGTTAATGTTTGTATAAATTACAAAATATTTTCTGAGGTCAAGGGACACAGTGTGACTCTCCACTTTTCTTTCTGATTGCTGTTGATTGCTTTCCATGCTGAGAATTAGTTGGACCCTTCATTAATGGATTCTTTTTAAAAGTTCCATTTGTCAAAATTGCTGATGAAGCTTTGAGCGCAGTATTCTCAACACTGTGCCTCAAAACCCTGTCATCCTTTTAAAGCTGCAATGAATGGAATTCAATTTATGAATCTCATTTGCTTTTTTTTTTTTTTTTTTTTTAAGGTTTCAAAAATTCCCTCTCTCTGTTTTATATAGTAGAAACTTTTTTCTGTATCTTGCCTTCATGACTGCTGAATTAACTTGAACAAGTTCAAGCAACGCGATTGGAGTGTGCCTTCCCCCTTTATCTCTTGTTTTGAAGCAACAAAGGAGAAACAAACCATGTCTTGAAGGACGTAGTTGCTGCTTTGAACAGATCGTGGGTTTTTGGGGGAAATCTAGCAGATAACTTGAGCTCGAGAAATCGTTGTGATTTCAATTCTTCCATGAATTTTAATATATTTCATTTATAATATATTTGTAATTTATAATTCATTTAATTCATGGATATATTTAATATCCATGAATTTAAGATAAGTCATCGGTAAATGCCACCTCAAATGAAAAGGGCTCTGTATAACTTTTTGTTCCTTTGTTTCTCTGAAACCTTACTAATGGGAGCAGATAAAATACCCACATGGACCTGATACAAAGCAGCTTGCTGTCTTAAGGACATTGTGTGTGTGTCTGTGTGTGCGCTGCAGATTAAAATGGCTATCTGG